AAATTAAGGTAAGTTCCTTAACTTTCCATTTGGCTTAAATTAAGGTATGTTTCTTAACTTTCTGTGTAAAGTGTGAAATATTTCTTATAGTGATTTCTGACTGTTACTTTTATCTATATGTCTCATCTTAACTTTACCAGAAATACCATTATTATTTTCTTTTAAATATTAAGCATCTAATCATTTATATTTATGATGTTTTTGAGTTTTCTTTTACTCACCACAGTAAACTCATATTTTTTATATACATTCCACCATTATACAAAGCCTGGTCTTGTTCTTTTGAGTTGCACTTGTCTCCAAGATTTTGATGAGGAGTAAAATTCCCAGAAACCATTACAACTTCATGATAAGTGGTGAATTGAATGATAGATTGGGCTTTATTTTTAACAATTAAAATTTTTTACTGACATTATGTACCCTGGTGACTATGGTAAGCGTAAGTGTTTATAATGTTAAAATTCGAGGTTTGATTCCCTAGAGGACACAGAACATGTACCCCATTCTGTAGCATTGTGCTAAAATAAACAGTTATTACTTTAACTTCCTTGATTTTTCTGGCAAATAATACTGCTATTTAAGTATTTACTAAACAATTTGAAAAATTTTAGTACCTGAATTTGTCTGTGCATTCAAAGAAATATGGATTTAGCTCAGTTGTAAAAGTTCATAAATTGTATATTTGTGTTCTAGGAAAAGAGAAAATAGAAGAACCTCAAACTGCACCAGTCTTTTTAACTTCATTCAGAGATGTGTCTGTGAAAGAGGGAGAAATTATAAGCTTTGAAGCAGAAGTGGGTGGAAATCCACTACCTGAGGTTAAATGGTATCTTAACGATCTACCTGTTACAGAATCAGACAACATCAGTAAAATGTTTGATGGCAAAAAGGTTTGTTTACAGGATAAACTTAGATGTAGATGTTCATTGAAAACCTTTTAAAATAGAAACCTCTTCTATAATGTGTTTTTTTTGTAATATAGCTATGCATTTGTTTTATATAGTATGGTTTGGTGAATTGTCAAAATTAATATTAGATCAATAACGTTCCATAATGGCAATAGTCATAGATCCTATTTAGATAGGGTAAGGGGGCAGTTGCTCCATTTGTACTTAACATCATCTCCACCTTAGGAACTATACTTATATATATAATATGCAGTTTGTGATATTTCAGTAATCTCTAAATAACATTGGAAATAATCAAAGCACATGCTACCAAAATAAACATTTTAACTTTAAAATAATTCATGTCTGGTATACATACCCCTCTCTATTCAAAAATAAATGGCACTCCTAAAAGTAATTGAAGCTTTACATAATATGGTACAATTTATTTCTTCAGTAGAAATTTAACAAAGCAGTTCATGTGTCAAGGTATCCGAAACTAATAAACACCCTGATTGTCAGCACTGTGACTTAACATGTATCAGAAACTAATACACACCCTGATTGTCAGCACTGTGACTTAACATGTATCAGAAACTAATACACACCCTGATTGTCAGCACTGTGACTTAACATGTATCAGAAACCAGCACAAACCCATATTGTCGTTACTGTGCCTAAAGGATAATAAGTATCAGACACTAACACACTCTTTACTAACACACTCTTGGCTAGTCAGTGCTATTACTTAAGTATCAGATAATAACACACTCCTGGCTAGTCAGTGCTATTACTTAAGTATCAGATAATAACACACTCCTGGCTAGTCAGTGCTATTACTTAAGTATCAGATACTAACACACTCTGGCTAGTCAGTGCTATTACTTAAGTATCAGATAATAACACACTCCTGGCTAGTCAGTGCTATTACTTAAGTATCAGATAATAACACACTCTTGGCTAGTCAATGCTATTACTTAAGTATTAGATAATAACACACTCCTGGCTAGTCAGTGCTATTACTTAAGTATTAGATAATAACACACTCCTGGCTAGTCAGTGTTATTACTTAAGTATTAGATAATAACACACTCCTGGCTAGTCAATGCTATTACTTGAGTATCAGATAATAACACACTCCTGGCTAGTCAGTGCTATTACTTAAGTATCAGATACTAGCACACTCCTGGCTAGTCAGTGCTCTTACTTAAGTATCAGATAATAACACACTCCTGGCTAGTCAGTGCTATTACTTAAGTATCAGATAATAACACACTCCTGGCTAGTCAGTGCTATTACTTAAGTATCAGATAATAACACACTTCTGGCTAGTCAGTGCTATTACTTAAGTATCAGACACTAACAAACTTTTTTTTTAACATATGCCACAAGCCTTCTGCTCCCCCTATTGGAATCTAGTGATTCCAACATGTCTCTCATGAAAATCATCATGCATCACTTTTCCACCAGTGGAGTGCAATGTAATCACATGACGCATGTGAAATCCTCTATACCCTTCCACCAAAATATCACTTCTCGTTTCGCAGTGCTTGTACTCGGAGGTTTTTTATGTCATTCTCTATTGTTTCACAGTTGTATTTAGTATACTCACGAAGTGTTCTTCATTTATTATATCTTCCAGATTCTCTGAAGTTTGAAATTTACCTTCATTTATTCCAGTCACATTCTGAAGCTAATGTTACCACTTCAGGGGTCACACCCTGACTAGCACTATTCACAATTTGCAGGTGTGGGCAACCCGATGTGGGTTTTTATCAGTATTTATCCTCCGGGAAATTGAACATTAAAAAGGTCGGCCTCTTTCTTCGATTCTTGCCCACAATTGGGTGGACAGAGACCTTGATAGCCTCTTTTCACCACTGGATTTCAAGTGTTCAGTTCTCCGTTCACAATACAGAAATTCTATGTTATTTTTGCACATTTATGATGGCTTTCATTCAATATTTCTCCACGGAAAGTTTCCGTCTTATTTTGTCGGGAATTTGGTTGTCTATTGTCCAGACTTCCATCAGACCTCGCCTCATACTTTGTGGTCCACCATTTGCTATACAGTCCGCTAACTTTCGAAAGATAAGATGTGTTTACTATCTTATTGTTAATATTATTATCTGTAATTATTTGAATTTGGTAATACACGCTTATTTAGGTTATTAAATACTTAATACTAACTTATGTTATGATTCGTAATTAGTCTTCATTATTTTTCTTCTATATCATTCGATTAGGCTTACCTTGGCATGTCCTTCATTAGTTTAACTATGTTATTTCCTTACTTTTATATAATCATTTCAGTTTTATTTCATTAATAATCTTTTTCTTCACTTGGTTTGGTTGGAACCCTTGAATTGGGGCCCAGACAGACTTCTCCCAGTTTTGTGCCTATTTATTGTTCAGTTTAATTTTTCTTTTCATTCTTAGGTTATCCTTTGTTCTGTACTGTTCAGTTAGGCATAACTAGTTTTCTTTCTTTTCAATTTCACTGTAGTTGTCATTTAGATTTCCTTGTTATTTTTGTTCACTATCTTGTTTGATTTGGTTTCATTACTATATTTTATATCTGTTTACCCATGGTTTTATTGATGGGTTATTATCTACTTAGGTTCCAGTTTTTCTTCACCACTACTTCATATAGGATTTATTCCCTACACTGTTTTCTTCCTATTTTAATATGTTGACAAATTCATTTTGTTTTTCTTTATAGTTTATCTTTTTACAGTTACTTTAGTTTCGTATTTATTCTATAATTATTACCATTCATTTCATTTAGTTTATACTTTATCCTTCTTTCCATTAATTGATTTATTGGTTTGTGTAGTTTTATGGACAGGTTCATATCTACCACGGTTCCAGATTTTTCGTTACATCAACATCATAAGGTATGCATTCCCTACACCATTTTTTCCCATTTTTCACCACGTTAATATTTCATTTTGTTTTTCTTTCTAGTTTATACATTTTACAGTTACTTACGTTTAATCTCTACTTTATACTTCTTACTATTAATTTTGTTTCATTTATAAATTCTTCCTCGTACCAGTAATTTAAATTCATGTGTTCATTTCTGGAAGCTGGGGTCTGCCATATCTGCTTCCACTATTGCTCACCTTCCCCATCTAATGCTGAACCTATTTCCCAACATCCTAAAATTGTCAGTTCTCCCTGACCTTATCATACAATGTCTTCCATACGTCTATAGCAGAGTCTGCTAGACCTACTTTATACATTTTCAAACATGTTTTGCAGAATATTATTCATGTTTTCTGTGCTGTTCCTTTTGATTTTTGGTTCTTACAAGCCTTACCTTCTACGGGCTTTCAATTTTACCTTAGTTTAACTTCAGGCAGATTTCTTCCAGCATTTGTCATTCCTTTCTCCCCTATCGTTGTTCACACCTTTAATGTTTTCCTTTATTCTGTGTTCTGTTTACATTTCAGGTTTCTCAAGGGATACCTCCTCTTTATTCCCTTTATGTTGGGGTTTTTGCCATCTTCAGTTCGTTCCCTCCTCACATGGTTTCTTTGCTTTTGGGTTTGTATTGGGTGTGATGTTGCTCTTTGTTTTCTTTTCCATTATTAATAGGGTTTTAGTCTGTTCCTTTTCTTCTCTTGTCCCTTTTTTGGGGGCGTTGCAGCTGTGGGTAGCATCTGTTTGCACTTCCTCTGTTTTCACACATTAGGTCTGCTTTTTTTTTTGGCTCCCTCGCACAATATTCATATCCTTGCATGTCATGTTCCGAGTGCTCTCGCTCAGATCACAGTTATTTTTTCTCATCTTGACACATTCTATCCATTGGAATGGTCTCTCGATTCTCTTGTTTTCTGGTGACTTTGTCTTCCATGGGACTCTCCCCACATAGATCCCTTTACAACATCTCTTAACCATCCATTACCTCTGTTTGGTATCCAGTACTTTCTCCTTTAGTTAGGACTGTTGATGCCTTCAGCTAGGATTCGTCCCTCAGGTACCTGTATGTCCACCCCCCCATCCTCTTACTTCCACAGGTGATTTCCCTCATCCCTACCATTCTGTGTTAGGTCCTTCTGATTACTCCTTAATGGCCAACTCAACCTTGATTTCCTCGACTTCTCCAGCTCCAACTTTTACCTCCACTGCCTCTTCTTTTGTCTTCTGCCCTTCTTCGTCCACTTCATTCATCGGTACTCCATCCAGACATTCACATCATTTGTCTTCACACTTGGCTCTTATTCAGTCCTTGGCAAGGAGATCGGGTTTATACCTGCAGGTAACTTTCTTTTTGCTTGTTCCATTCACTCTTCATAAGTGGGCATTTATTGGTGTAAATAGAAAGTTTTCTGCAGTTAATCTATGATTCAGGAGTTTCCACAGCTCTAACCCCTGTGTCTTGGGTGACAGAGTTTCTCCTCTGGTTTTCCTACTGTGAGTCTTCAGTCCCCTAGATCTTGGATTATCAGGCTGCCTTGTTCCATACCTTTGTTTTTTTTTCTAATATCGCAGAGTTTTTACCTCACCTATCCTTACTATGTTCATACATTCCATCCATATTAGTCGTTTTCTCTTACTGCCTACCATTCCAGCCTGGATATTAATGTGATCTTTTATTCCCTCACTTTACCTTTGTTTGCACCACTTTCCTTGTGTTCCATGTTTCACCTTCACTTCAAACATAAATCCTTCTCCTATATGCCTATGTACATCAGAAGTCAGATTTGTTTCCCTTGATGTTTCTTGTACATCTTTCCCACTCCCTATCATCTCCATTATCAGGATCTTTCCTTCCTACCCAAGACATCGGGATCTAGGAGAGGTAACTCCTGCTTTTGCTTAATTCCTTTACTTTCATTTCCCATCTTTATCCTTGTCCCAATCCGGATTGACTCCTATGTACAGTCTGTGCTCTTTGTTGTTCTACTGCCTGTATGACTTTTTTTTTCTATGATGCCCGCTACTGCCTCACTATTCCTAGGCAGTTTTCTTGAGTCGAGGATCCCATTGGCTTACTTCCCTTAGTCGTCTTCTTCCCAGACTTTGTTATAGATGTCTTGTCATCAGTATCGACATCCTTACCTTTTTCTTGGCATCTTGTCTTCATCACCCATTGGGGGAACTCCTACATCTAGGCATGAGAACTACACCTAATATGTTCGTCTCCCCTTATCTACACCATGGTTTCTTTCTCATCAGGTTTTTATCTGCCACCTGTGACCATTTTTCATACTTCAGTATGACTCTAACTGAGTAAGTTCCTATTCATTATTTCTTTCCATTCAGGGGCTCTTGCTTCATTATTCACTATTTAGATCCTGCTTTCTGGTGAGCGGTGCCTGATCAGGTATCCTTCAATTGAATTCTGCACTGTACAGCCATATTGAATTGTGCTATCTTCCATGGTTTTGCAATGCTCACCGGTGAGATGGGGTGTTCCACAAGATCACTTGAAGATGAATAACCTTGCATTGTTTTTGTTTCATAAACATACATGTTCTGGGCTGTACCACCCATGGACTGCATGGGTAAAGCAGAAGGTGACAGCTGCCCATCCCTGCCAGGCCTTGATTGAATAAATTAGGTATGGTCTACTTTTCAAAATAGGGTTTTGTGGTCACCCATTGCACTGTCTCCGGTGATGGCGTTCCTCTGGACCCTCCATATATTTGTCCTTATTTCTTTCAGTGGAGTGTGGGAGTCCTTACCACTTTCCAGTTCTAAGCCACTGGGGTGGTTGACCTTGGAGACACCCTCCTGAATGGGTTCTACAAAAAGATGGCTATATCCATTCAGTCAGGAGTAAGGCAGTGGTGTTCTGCTGATCTAGATGAGACGTGGCCCCCCAGAGAAGTTGAGCCATCACCTTGCTGGATGAAGTGGCCTACTGATATCATTTACACAAACACTAGAGTCGAGCCATCGAAACTACAGTTCATCCCTGTGTGGATTTAGAGTGAAACAATCAACATAAGTCCTCACACATGTTTATGGTTGTCTATATTCTACCCTCAATCAAACTCTTTGTGTTGTGGGTCACAGCTGAGGAAAATGGACTGTTCCGGGTATCTTTCTTTGCCGTCCCTCAATATATCTCATCTGAGGATGTTCTGACTTTGGGATGGTTCCAGTTCGTTTCCCTGTCGCAGGAGATTTCTTATATAGACATCCTTTCTATACCAGATGTTGGATTCCTGGTTGATCTATCAAACATTACTATATGTGCCATGTTCAGGTATCGGAGTGGTTATCGATTTCCTCTGATCTCTTGAACTTGAGGTGAAGATGGTATGATCCTCATCCTATCACAATGTGCATGTCAGTTTCCAGCAGTGAGGGTTTTGGACATAGTTGACATACCCATATGGTCTGTCACATCCTAGCCACTCTACATCTAGGGGCACATTCATTGTTTACAAACTTTTATATGGTGATATTGACTTCGATATCGTATCCAGCCAGAGTTCTCTCCCACTTGGATGTGCTCCTCTACCGTTCTGCCCATATCTCATATGTATTTTGTGTATGGGTAAAGAGTATACCTGATTCAGAAGTGGTGCGGTTCCTTTCATCAGTTCTTTGCGTTTGACTTTCTCATTTCCAGGGGTTTCCTTCAGACGCTTTTGAAGAGTGCTTCTGTCATTCCCTTGCATTGGTCCCTCCTCCTATTCAATGTGGAATTCTAGCTAATCTTGTGAGTGGAGGAAATTACCATATCGAAAGTTATAATTTTCCTATACTGTAAATGTATTTCCAATAGATAATACCCTCTTCTCACACTTCCCACTCTTCCTCCACACTAAAAAGCGATGTTTCCATCTTCTGCCAAACTCGAAATGATACTTTGGTGGCAGAGTACAGAGGGAGTCACATGCGTCACATAACTACATCACACTCTATTGATGGAGAAGTGATGCATTATAATTTGCGTGAGAGACATGTCAGAATCACTAGATTCCAATAGGGGGGAGCAGAAGGCTTGTGGCATGTGTTCAAAAATGTTTGCATATAGAGGGCAGCACTGAAAATGAGTAGCTAATCGTGTGAGCGGAAGGAATTACCTATTGGAAATACATTTTCAGTATGGGAAAATTACAACTTTCAGTAGTGAGTTAATGATAATATGTATCAGAATCACACTGATTGTCAGGTTTTTGGCTTACTGATTACAAATATCATATTCTAACGCAATCAGTGCTCTAATTAAAGATAATAAGTATCAAATATTAACATGCACCTTCATTCATGGTTCAGTTACGTAATGATAATAAGTATCAGAAACTGACAGTCACCCAGGTTGTCAGTACTGTGACTTAATGATAATATGTACCTAACACTAACAAACACTGATTGTCAGTACTGTGACTCTAAATCCTGACAAGGAGAATGTCAAAATTAGAAATACAGAGATCTACATAATAATGTCAATATTCAATATATGTTGTAAGTTATTAATGAAAAAGTAAAA